ACACAGACTTTTAATAATACATTATACTGTGGTTAAATTTTAAGTAAAATATAAATTGCTATGAAAGAATTTCAGTAAAATTGTCCTTGTTATCTAGACATTTTGATTTAACAAAGTCAAAAATAAACTTAAAAAAAAGTATGACTAATCTTATATTATCTAATACCCGTAAAATGTACCTGTATAACCAATATGTAGAGTAGTATACTCTATCACAATACAATAATACACAGACTTTTAATAATACATTATACTGTGGTTAAATTTTAAGTAAAATATAAATTGCTATGAAAGAATTTCAGTAAAATTGTCCTTGTTATCTAGACATTTTGATTTAACAAAGTCAAAAATAAATATAATCCTGGCTGTAAGTTGCTGTCAAAATTAACGTTAAAAAACTTTCACATCTGCCATGAAATCACTTTTGATAAGAAAAATATAACGATAATAGTTATTAACAAAAGGTTTTTTGTAATACGTACTTCAATTTTATCAATACGTAGTGATGACAATACGTATTATACTTATATTGTTTTAATATATCATTCATTTTCCGCTTAAACATAAAAATATATGTTTAAAAATGTTTTTAAATCTAATAGTCATATTAAGCTCGTGTTTATTAGTAACATGTCGTGAGTTAAAAACTACCGGTGCCGGTGAGTATGATGACGACTGTAAACCTGGCAGTAAATGCACCCCAAACAAGGCACTGGTATGCGTGGCCTTTGAACTATATCAAGTTGATATAAGTATGTATACCATAATTAATTAATTAACTAAATTAAATATTAATATGTTAGCATGCTAATTTTAAACTAGTTGTTCAAAAGTGTCGGTGCAAACCGCAATACACGTGGGATGGTAGCCACTGTGCACCTATAGGTAATTGCCAGACGGCCGACATATGTCAGACAAATGACTGGGACTACCGGCGTAAATGTGACATCACAAGCGGCACCTGTATCTGCGAGTCTGGCTACAGGGAAAACCTTAAAAATGGACATAGGTGCGAATTTGATTGGGCACCTGAATGCACGACTACATGTGCCGGTGATAACGAGAGGTGTTTGGACGGGAAGTGTAGGTGCGATGTGAACTACCGGTGGTCGGATCGGGAGGCTAAGTGTGTGAACTACCAGTGCGACGACAATGTAATCAATAAGGGTTGTTATTTTCGTTGGGATTATACGGGTGACATAAATACCAATGAAATACTATCGATGCCTCGGGTGTGTAGCTCCGGTAGGTGTGTCTGTCCCCGGGGTTATAAGGAAAACAGTACCAATAGTTTTAAGTGTGAACGATCAACTGGAAGTGAGCCGGATGGTGCTCGGGTACAGGTGCTGTCATTTATTGTTATTATACTGTACTATCTGTGATTATTAGCTTGATGAATAGTTTGTTTGTGATTTGATTTATATTTTGAGATTTATTTTTGTATTATTTTTGATGATTATTTATGTGCATTTACTGTATATGTATTTGAATTTTATTTATATATTTCGGTAATTAATTAATATGCAATAAAACCCCCTATGTTAACTTTTGACAATATTCTTTGACATTAAATTATTAGCGTTGATATTTGTGCCTGGTATTATTAAATCGACGCCTTAATTCGTGCAATTCATGAGATCACCACCCATTTTGACGTTTAAGTTGGTTAGATAAATAAATAACATTGGTAAAGTAATTAGTAAAAGTAATATTGTGATCACTTAAATCACATGATAAGTTAATTTCCATTTTCGGTGTTGATTAACATGTTTAAATATAATATTTTTGTTTCAATAATATAAATATGGCAATAAATATGTACAGAAATTAATAGAATACTGTATAATATACATAATATGGTATACGGTAGATAATATCTAATAATAGTATTGTCTATTCACTAGAATATTGCACCTTTCTAAAGCAAAATTAATCAATATTTAATTATTTTCATTAAAATATAAAGTATTAATACAGTTATAATTTGAAATTTAAAATTTGCTATATAATATTGTTACGAAATTTTATAATGTATGTAAAACTAATAATATTTAAGAAATTTCAAAATACAAATTTATTATGTTTAATTTTAACAAATTATAAACATAATATTAATATATTTATACATTTTATTTAGTAATAAATTATAATTTAGTAGTTAATTAAAAAACACCCTAATGTATGAATTAATGGAATTTCTAAATTAATTCATCCATGTAGCTTTAAATTTAAAGTTTAAATATAATGTTCTAATAAATCCTTTATTTAAATAATTACCCGCTAACATTATCATTATTCTACAATTATATTTACTATTTATAAATTTTCTTAAAACATAAAAAAAACTATAATTATAATACGAAAAGTAAAGTGTCCGAAATTTCCCCATTTTATTAGTTCAACCATTTTAGCGTATAATTAACATTAGTGTAATAATTTAGTACAGGTTTCAAAAATTATTATTGGTATATTAGCTCAAAAGTTAACATGATCAATTAAGGATATCGATGCTTTTAAGGTAGCCAATTAATGTTATAATAAACATTGAGTTCATCAAATAATATTGATTCTATAATATATTACAGCTTTTAAAAGTAATAGCACTTTGGTCCAAATAATCTTATAACCCATATTTTTAAAATTCATAATTGCTGGTAAAAATAATATTTGGAAGGGTCGTTTAAACCATTAATTATTTTTAAATATTTTATAATTATTTTCAGTAAACTTAAAATATTATTAAAGTTATAAATATAGTTATTTTTAAAGTTATATAATACGATTTATATTACATTTAAGCAATTTTGAGAATGTATTATTATATATTAAAAACTTTTTTCATGATTACCTTTGTAACCAAATTAACATGTATAAAGGCGCATGGATGATTCTGGATTGAAAAAATTATAAGGTTTCTGTGTATGGTATATATTGGCTCATAAACTATACGATCATTTTGAATGGTAATACCGGTGCCTATGAGCTGGTAGTCTCGATCGAGCTATATCTGTAAATTTAATAATATGAGCAATGTAAAATATATAGCACGCTTCCTATTAATCATGTATTTAGAGGAGCTCAATTTACTTTATATTAAAGTTTTTACAATATGTAAACAATATTTAAATATCTATCCACTTTTCAAATATCAAATTTTTAAATTAAAATTTCTAATTAACTACTACAAAAATATAGTCAATAAACAATATAAAATATGATGGATTAAAATATTATTAAAAGCGAATAAAAATATTACCAAACCTTAATATAACGATTCATATTAACTAATAGATTTTTGTTATTATTTGCGATATAATAAAAATATTATTACAGTTTAAATATGGTTATTTTTAAAATATATCATGCTTTTGACATCCATTTCCGTATTATTAGCAAGTTTTGTCAGCATTTGGGCGATAATATGAAGTTTAAATTATTTAATTTAAACTGTAAATAAATGTTTATCACCAACCTGTAAAATAAAATTAAAAATTTTAATTAATTTGTGGTCCGCAGAACTACTTCACATTTGTCACCATTGTAATTTTACTTTGCACATTTAATTTTTGTTTATGATTGCATAATGAGTTGTTTATTTTGATTTTAAAAAGTACACATCGAGTCCTTGAATTTTATAAAATAAATCTTAATTTATCTAATCACATATTTAGGCTTAAATTGATTAGATTTACTAACACTAAATTAATTATTATATATTGCAATTATTTTCTATATATGATTGCCTCAAAGTAATAGTGTATTTATGGTTTCAATCTATTACATACCGGTGCATTTTTAACTGATAATCCGTTAGTGCATTTAACGACATGGTGTACCACAACGACAAAGTGATTAGATATCATTTTAAAGTTTAGTACACATTGGTATTAAACTATACAGTATAACTTCCTAATCCAATATAATTAATTAAAACTTTTTTTAAAATTCTAATTTAATTCTTTGCATTTAAAAAATAATAATTAACGTTAAATATTATCATTTTCTTTAAATTAATAATTATATTTTCTAAAATATATATTATAATTCCATATACCCTGGTTATAATAAGTTTATATCTTTAAGCAATATTATCATTTATTTAGTTATAAGATAATATTTCCAAACCTATATAAATAAAAATTTGTTTAGAAACTTTTTAATAAACGGTAAAATAATTTTGATGTTATACCAATTAATGATTTTATTTTAATAGCCTATAACCATTTATATTTATTATGGATTTAATAACCTTAATGAGTTTATTAGCAGTTGCATTGTCAATATTTATTGGGTAAGCTTGTTCTATGTATAATTAAAATTTAGCAAATAATTGTATTTTAAAATACTGTATTATTATTATATACTATTAAAAACTATAATAAATTAAATAAACTTTAAATATGATAATTTACATTACAGCAATAATGTATTTTTGGCAATCGTTATTCAAAGTTATTTTTAAAAATATTTCCTAATAATTTTATAAACCAAAATATTATAATAAGTTAAATAATTTTAATTTTAACTAGGTACCTCCGGCACCGGTACACATACTGGAGTCGCCATGGTGTACCCGGCAAAAATTACTTTGATATTACTCAAATATCAAAATACACTCACAAATACGACCACGATAATACCAACAAATACGGTCGTGTATACGGCATGTACACAATATCGGGCAATACTATCATGATAAACGACCCTGAACTACTACGGGACATATTTATCAAGGACTTTCACGCGTTTCCCGACCATATCAACAATATACACTTTGGTAGCTCCCATTTGAGCAAGGGTCTATTTTTCCTGAAAGGTGACGATAATTGGAAAAGGATCCGGAATATAATTACCCCGGCGTTTACATCGGGGAAATTGCGGGCAATGATGGGACACATATCGGACGCGTCCGACCGATTCGTCAATATGCTGGTGAAGTACGAAAGGACAGGTAGTTATGAAAATACATGTTTAAAAATGTATAACATAAAGATATGGTTAGATTTTAAATGATTTAATATGTAGCTGTAAATTATTATTTATTCAAAATCTATATTATTATAAATTATTAGGAATTTAAATATTGGAATAAGAATTTAAAGAAATATTTTTTTAAAGTTAAATTGAATATTATATTGGTAAATTAATTTTTTGAAAATTTAACTTGTTATGTAAAATTTGTTTATTATTTAGAAACTATTATGACAAATTATTTTACTATACTATAATAATGTATTAATTAATCACTTGTTACAACTATTATCAGGCAAATCCATAGACATGCAAAAGTACCTGCGTGCATTCACATTGGACGTAACATGTGCATGCGCCTATGGCATAGAATTAAACTCGATAGATAACCCTGATCATCCCATGTGCGTAAACGTACGTAAAGTACTGGACCCACCACTCAGTGTGGGAACCCTATTGTCGGTATTTTTCCCGGGGTTGGCCCGATTACTCAAATGCGAACCCTTTCCCCTCAAACCGTTTGACTATTTCCGGGACGTAACCGAAAAAATACTGACTGAACGTAAAATGCATAATAAATATGTGGATAATGATAAAAGTAAGTGTAAATATTATTAGTTTATTAATTATATTATAAATGTTAATATAAATGAGTTTAAAACCAAAAATGTACTAGGTCTAGATTACATAATAATAATATTATTCATTATTAATTACACTTTTAAGTCAAAAATTACAGTTTTTATTCAATAATTTCTGACGTTTTTATAGCCAAACGTCGCACAGATTTCATACAATTAATGATAGACTCGGAAAAGTCGGATATAGACCTGGGATACGACTCACACCCTGATGAGTCCACCACCGGACAGACGCCTACCACCAAAATACCGGTCGGGAAACTAACTACCGATGAAATCGTGGCCCAAAGCACGCAGTTTTTCATCGCCGGGTTCGACACGTCCAGCGCCGCCCTATCCAACACCATATACTACTTGTCCCAAAACAAGGAGTGTCAGCAAAAACTATATGAAGAGTTGGACGGTTGCGGCGATTTGTCGGACGAAAGTGTTATGCAATTAAAGTACTTGAATGGTGTCGTCAATGAGACCCTACGACTCACCCCATCAATCGTACGGCTATTCCGTACGTGCGTTAAGGACTATAAGCTTGGTCATACAGGTATGAACTTGATATTATATTATAATTATTTTTTTTAATATTTATGTTTCAAAATTTTTAAGCAATATTAATTTTTTCAGTGATCAATACTATTAAAATAATTTAGCAAACTTTGTACAATTAGTTATACAGTAACTTGTAAATACAGTATGTACATAAATTAAATGCTAATAAGTAACTTTAGCAACATTACCATGATAATGATAAACATTAAATAAATAAATTAATTAAATTTTATACCAAAATATAATAGATAATATAATATTAATATCATTAAACAATATTAAGTTGTAATTTTAAAACTATTTAAACACTATTATCTTATTACTGTACCATAAAAATTGATTTTATATGAATAGGGATAACCCTACCCGCGGACACGGATGTGCTTATCAGCCCCTATGCTATACACCGGGACCCTGAATATTGGCCTAACCCTGATGCTTTCATACCGGAGCGTTTCATAGAACCCAAACATCATCCCTATGCCTACGTAACCTTTGGTGGTGGACCTAGGGTTTGCCTAGGCAATAGGTTTGCCCTGAATCAAATGAAAATATGCCTGGCCAAATTGATTCATAAGTTTGAATTTAGCTTGGTACCAGGATTTAAAATAGACTACGTTAAGGGTGACCCCACAATGTCACCCAAAGGTGTCATGTGCAATTTCAAATTAAGAAATTAAGCTTTTTAAAATTATAATAATTATTGTGAGCATAATATTATTGTTATAATGTTGATCAAAATTTTAATTGTTTTGAAACATAAATTAATAAATATAAGTTTGTAAACTGTAAAATATTTATCCAATAAATCATAATTTATAAAATAGTTTAATATTTTTATTTCATGGGTAATGCTAATATGTAGTATTATTTTTATAATCTGTAAATATATTAATAGCAATAGTCACAATTGTAGTAATTGGAAAAATTATATAAACATAAATTTTATATACAATAAATTTTATATTAAGCTCTAATATGTTATCATTGCTTTATTTTTAAATTTATTGAATTTAATAATATAATTATAACTTCTAATACAATTTCAAATAGATTATTTTATTAATAATCATTACAAATGATAGGAAAGTAAAATTAAACTATTTTATTGTTTAATATCTAAAAACCCGAGATTATTATGGCGGATATCATATCGGTCTCGGCAAGGTACAACATATTGCTATAAGGTCTACTGGGCCACAATTAATTGCAATCAGTGGCACATTTCAACAAAGTCACTTATGAAGCCTACAACAACGGGAACGATATGACCAGTTTTGCGGTAAATACGAGTTCGTCAGAAATGTGTTAGTCATAAATGGTCCGAGATTTCCATACAGTATATTTCTGAATCATAATAATTTCACCAGGATAGCTTTAAGTTTGGTCAGTCACTGTATTTTATACCCGGGAATGACGACTAGACTCCGGTCTATACTGTGGCCGGTGTTCACGTCGGGTAATGCCGGCAATGATGGCTCAGATCGAGGGGATCGCCGATAAGTTTGTCGACAATCTGTCGATGTATGCCGTGAATGGTATGAAAACCAATGTATTTTACTATTAATTTTGGAATAATTTTAATAATTAATAAACAGTATTAACTTAAATATCATAAATTATAAAATCATAAAATTATAAAATTATAAATCATAAATATCTTAAATTCAAATAAATATGATTAAGTTTGGAAAGTATTTATTTTATTAATATTAGAAAATTTTAAAATCACCAGACATGATTTCCCAAACAATTAAGCAAACACAATCATCATTATATTCAAGTACACTATTTATAAAATCTACAGTCTCAATATGAGTATTAATTTACCAAACTACTTTTCTAATTTTTTTAGCAAGCAATTAAATAAAAGTGATTAACATAAATTATAACTAAATGATTGATATTAAAGAGACAATTCAAATAATTTTAAACACTAAAAACTTATTACATGAAAGCAGAATTGAATGGTTTTTTCGAATTTCTAACATAGGTATAAATGTTTTTTAAATATTATCAACAAAATACAAAATTAGGTATAAAAACTAACATTATTTATAAAAATGGTAGTTTATATTATATTAATTCATATTGTTTATTATAAAACTAACAAACTCATATAATGACTCATAATCGTTTAAGTATGTTACTTGTATTTTTAATTATGTAATCATCCAATTTAAAAGTATATTTACATTGTTGCAATTAATGCTATTACAATAATTAAAAATAATAATTTTATTAAATACATTATAATATTATCTTAATTATAAACTAATTATAAAGTTTAGATACTGTTGATTTAAAAAATTTTAAAAATTTTAAAAAGGGTAACCGAATTGGGTGCCAAATAAATAATTAAGCTCATTAATCATTAAATAAAAGAAAATAACTTTAAATTTTACAGTCTCAATACGAGTATTGATTTAAAAATTATTTTTTAATAATTTATTTTAAACTAGCAAATAAATAAAAGTGAATTACATCATTTATAAATGTATGAAAAAGCAGTGTTTAATTGGTACTTTGAATTTCTAAATCAGATATATATTTTAAAATTATTTCATAATAGATTAGTATTGAATATAAATCACCATATTATAAAATTACTAAACTTATTATACTATTTATAATATTATGTATTAATATTATATTATATTTAATCCCTTTATAATCAATTTAGATTTATAATCAATTTTATTATTATCTAATATATTTGATAATTAAAAATTATGGTTACAATTGTTAAATGTAAATTTTAAAAATGTTATTTAAATGTATATTAATATTTGTATTTTAAAATACTCCGTTTGCATTCAGCCCATTTAATGACAAAAATATTTTATTAATCATTATAATTTTATCGTAAATAAATTTTTACAGTTTTAAAAATATGCTTTTTAAATCCAATTGTTTCTTAAATATCTATATAAAAAATATCTAACAAGTTAAAACAACTTGCATTTAACAAGTATAAAACCTGTCTATTGTCTATAGTTTGTGTGTATAAGTTTTAACACATGAATTGATAAATTATAATTTTTATATACTAGTAGACTCAACAGTATCATTATGAAAAGTGATTATCAGTTGTCCCTGTTGTTGTTTTCTTAGTTTCCGTTTTCTGTAATAAATAACCATGAGCACTAACCACAGTACAAATAGTGGTACCACTACCCCAGCTGCTATTTTACCACCTATATTTATAAATATAAAAATTAATCTTGTTTTAAGTTATATACTATGAATAGGATAAAATCATCAAACTTATTTACCAAGGTAATTATTCCCTAGATTTGATCTTGGAACATAAGTGCTAACACCATAATCTGGAAATACTGTTCTAGGTGATTCAGTAGTTGTTAGAGTATGGGGTGGTTCACAAACATTATTCTTATAAACAATGTCATCGATAGCCATATATGTCTGTGGATTTTGTGTTTGCACCTGGATTAATATTCTAAATGTCTCTGTTGAACTAATATTAACAGATATATGTTCCCAGGTGCGTTTATCGTACGGCTTATTATATTGTGAATCCAATAAAGGTTGATAATCATACGGTGTTTTAATATTATCACCTAGTTTATTTTATATATTTATTATATTAAATGTTATATTATTTCCAAAAGTTTATTAAATTAATTTGTCTCTTACCTTGAACATTCACTAGTTGTATATTAAAATTAACATGTTCATCACAAGATACCGGTATAAAATAAAATGATAAGCAAGCTTCATTTGTCATATTAATAAATGGACTATATAATTTAATATTCGCATTTTCATTAGCCTTTAACAAGGTTAAATCGGTGTATAAAAATGAATAATCTGTTGGATCAAGCAGTTTCTTGAAAGGTAACACCGATGCATTTTCTACACGACCAATACCCATTTGCCATCTAATATTATTTGTAACTTTACCCTGAATCCAACCACACAAATCTATATCAAAATTGCAATCAATAACCGGTGGACAGACACCCTTCGTAAGTATGATATCGTCGAAAAGCACGTGTGACTTGGTATCTGTTAATATGTCATCAAGATAAATAATTAATGAATTTACATTTGCATTAGTGTATTTATATAAATATAAATATATAAATATTTTTACTATTTGTTAAATGCGTTGCTTCAATATAAATAATAGTCTGAAAATCACCCGAGACATTAAAATTAAATAGACCATGTTGCCATTCCCGAAAACCAGATACAGCTACCTCAGGTACCTCATTAGAAGTCCATCTAGGTATTTTCCCATCATCTTGCAAGATTTTAACATTTATCACATCTAATTCCCCTAAAAGTGCCAAGTACCAAAGGTTTAAGCAATATGCCCCATTTAATAAGTGAGAATTGCTTTTTAGTACAGCCGTCTTATTGATTTGATCTAGAAAAGTTTAATTTTAAAAAGAATTTTAAGTTAAGGTAACTTTTATATTTAAGAAATATTTAAACAGTATACAGTATATCAGGTCTATGAAATTTTGTAGCTAGACCCTAATTTGCATTATGTATTACTAAACTAATTATTGTATTTAAGGTAAAAAATCAAGCCTAGTATTCAGTATAGTATACTGAATTTTGAGTATACTGTAATACACACGTAATTGTAATTGTAACAATTACGTAAAATAAATTTGAACATATACCTCCAACAAATTTCATAAAATGACCGTCACTACTTAACGTGGTATGATCGTGGTCTAAATTTTCAGCGCGTGCAGTAACATCTGCTTGAGCCAATGTAAAACTGCAATCATTACAACTAGGTGTCCAACTGTTTGGTTGTATTTCTGGTGATCCCTCAAAATCACACAGGTCATACTCTGAACAATAACCATAATACGTTTTAAATGAATCCAGTGCTATTATACCATGTGAGGCATTCGCCATAAATTGTAACTGATACAAAAATTTTAGTAATAATAATTAAAATATCTGAATACACAAAACGAGAATGGTGTAAGAAATTAATCTTACATAAATCTTTTTGTCATAAGAAATTAATGAAACTAAATTTTAATTGAATGCATTAATATAAGATTTTTCTAACAATTCAAAAAGCGTCTCGTTTTGTGTAATCAGAAAATAATATCATTTTTATTATATTACGCTAAAGCTTTCATAATGTCTGTAAATAGTAACGCTATACGAGTGCCACATATCACCACCCGTTCCCTCCCAGCGCCATATTTCAATATCCTTATGGACATTATCGATATCCTTATGCACTTGTTTTAAAATTATGCTTGCTTCAGTGCCACGTATATAATAATTAAATTTGAGACAATGTGGCTCATATAAGTCAATGGGCTTTGTTTCTAATTCTGTGGGTGTATGTAATTTTTTTATAGTTCATGATAATTCACTCAACTAATCTTGAACAGATTTTTAAATACCTGCGTGTTCATTATTAAGGGTTGCTTGAATAAATGAGCCTGTTTGCATAAAAGATATTTTTAATTTTTAAAAAGCATCCGTAATAATATTGCTAATAATTGTTCATAGTATAATTATTTTCAATATGTAAAGTCGTGTCTCAGTTTGAGAACATATAATTACCCGCATCATTTATTGGGTTTGTAGCTCCAGCTAATTGTAATGTCATGCTGACCCTGTTATTAATAAATGTCCATGGTCGATTTTCCGATTGCACCCAATTACACAATGAATGTAAATTGAAATCGCAATCAACTTTTTCGCTAACTTTTAGAAAATACAAAACTGAAATTTCAAAAATATGATTTCACCCTGTAACGAAACTTACATGCTAAATCACATTTAATTTGATTAATAATAATACTGAAAACAATTAAATATTTGCATAGCATTTTAACTAAAACTTTTTAATTAATTTTAAATACAAAATATTTTAAAAGCTTTTAAACTTAACTGTTAAAACTAAACTTAAGTTTTAATGTGATTAAGTGATTTTATTTTACTTGTTTAATATTTTATAGTTTTGAAGTAC